TTTCCCTGCAACCAAACAGGCAGGCAGACTATTGGATTCTGATTTATTTATTATTTTGGCTAATTGTTGTTTGAGTTATTGCAGTCAAATCACATGAGAAAAGTGGTTCCGTCAGTGATAACGAAAATAAAAGGGAGGCAGATCCTGGATAGCAGAGGGATTCCTACTGTTGAAGTTGACTTGTTCACCAACAAAGGCAGCTTCCGTGCATCTGTTCCTAGCGGTCATGTTACTGGCATGTGAGCAATTTTTATTATTTTTTCCCTTCAATTTCTTATCAATTTCTTGAGCCTAGCCTAGCCGCTTCATTGTAATTAATTCGTCAAGGCTCTCATTTTTCTTAAAAAGGTTAGAGAACAATTTGTCAACAATTTGTCCGATAGGTTCATTCTGTTATCCTGTTTCAAGCCCGTGCTGTAAATTTGAATTGTGTGATAAGACCAACCTAGAATCTTTTCAAGTCTCGTGTAGTAGTAAGTGATTATGATTAATGGTCTCTCCTAGGTATGAAGCTGTTGAACTGAGAGATGGGGACAAAGGAATGTATCTCGGAAACAGTGTGACTAGAGCTGTTAAGAACATTAATGAGAAGATATCTGAAACACTGATTGGCATGGACCCGACACTTCAGTCTCAAATTGATCAGGCTATGATAGACTTGGACAAAACAGAAAAAAAGGTAATGCTTTCTTTTCTTTGCCGTCTTTGATTATCAGATGCCCACTCCAGTTCTCTGTACTTGTTACTGGTTCACTGTCCATAAAACAGAAAAGAAGGCTTCATTTGATATGATTGCTGATGTAGTTCTTAGATTGCTAACATGTTACGAGGCATCCTGTTTATTACTGTAAGTCAACTGCAGGGTCAACTTGGAGCAAATGCTATGTTAGCTGTGTCAATTGCTGCATGCAAAGCTGGAGCCGCTGAAAAGGAGGCATGAGTGATACCTTTTACTTTAGATTTTTAATAAAATTAATGTACTGCTTAGATCATAATTTTGTGCGCTTCTTTGAATATTTTGATGTGGAAATACCAGATTCCACTTTACAAACACATTTCTGATCTTTCCGGCAAAACCAACCCGACTCTTCCTGTCCCAGCTTTCACTGTCATAAGTGGTGGAAAACATGCAGGGAACAATCTAGCCATTCAGGTATGGCCAATTTATGTTTAATTTTACATGCAAACTTTATAAGCTGTTTGGAAAAATCTTCACTTGATAATGATCAAAAGTGCATTGCATTTTTTGAACAGGTTACTTTTTTTATCATTTAGCAATTTTAAGTGAAATTTTTTTCATTCTCAGAGAAAAAGGTGATTTTTTAAATAGTGAATTGGCTTGAAAGTCCATGCAATGCTACTTGATTAGGCTTGGACATCAGAAAACAGGGAGGTAGTGACTGTGTGCTTGCTTATTTTTCTTCTGTTATTGGGAAGGACGTTGTAGGATGTGAATGAGTTTTTCCTTAAGAAACATAATTCAGGAACAGGGAGATCATAGCTTTTGATAGTGGAAACAGTCTGCTAAGAATTACAGTACATTAAGAGTTAGTTGAACGGATTCTGATAATTTGCTACGCATTTTGAATTCTAATAGAATCCTTTTATACGAACATCCATTGACCTGAGTGGGGATAGTTCTGAAACATGAAGCAGTTCTCTATGTATTGGGATAATGTGAAAAGATTTGAGAGTTTATGAATTCACAAGTTATTATTGCAACATCATTGGTATTCACAAGTCTCATTCATTTTGAAGAAGAGATATGGCTTGTTTTACTGGTAGGTATTTGATTCTAATATTATGAAGTGACGCAGTTCTAATATGAAAGTTGAATCAATACTTCATCTATAACTCTTCTTTTTGATTTTTTTTGTTGTGTCCTAGAACTTCAATTCACTCACTCATTGCAAAAATCAAATTTGACTTGAACAGGAAATCATGATTCTTCCAATTGGAGCCAGCAGATTTGAGGAGGCACTACAAATGGGTTCTGAAACATACCATCATCTAAAGGTGATTTTATTTATTAGAACTAACTTCTGGGATTGTAACTTTCAATGTACCAGTTGCTTCTTTCTCATGGTCTTTCTGCCTGGCTTTATTTTCAGATACTGTGTTTTTTTAATCCAAGTACATCTTATGTTCATCAGCCTTGAACCCTTGACCCTAAAAAAGTGTTAATGGTCACATGAGTTAGAGTAACCAACAAACAAGTTACTTCTGTAAGCTATACATGCAAGGGGTCTATAAACATATAAAAATATCCATGTGTAAACAGATAACATCTGTCCAGATTCAGAAGGTGCAGCATTTGCCAGATTGTAGGTTGGGGAAGTTAATGAAGATTCATGCATAGCTCCAGTATCCACCCTAATGGAGATGATTTGATATTTTTCTCTTAACCAAGTACGAGTCTGATAATTATATGCTTGGCTAAAGAGAGAATGCCTTTAGTGTTTATGGGGCAAAAGACTTCTCATTTTCCTTTTCTTTTTACATTGGCTGTTTACTTTATTTGACGTGGTCTATCTCTGGAATTACATGCTTGGCTAAAGGAAGGTCGGTGTGGGGTAATACATGGTGTCTCATTTTCTAGTTGTCAAGGATGCCTTTGGTGTTTATGGAGCAAAAGACTTCTCATTTTCCTTTTCTTTTTACATTGGCTGTTTACTTTATTTGACGTGGTCTATCTCTGGAATTACATGCTTGGCTGAAGGAAGGTCGGTGTGGGGTAATACATGGTGTCTCATTTTCTCGTTGTCAATTATCCCATTATTATTTATGGAGCCAAAGGCTACTCATTTTCTTTTTCTTTTTAAATTAGCTGTTTCCTTTACTTGATGTGGTCTCTCTCTGGTCTTGAAATTAATATGAGTAGAAGTGAGGGAGACTAAACATTTACTGTTATTAAAAAAAAAAAACTTATTTAATCTCAGTAATGAACTTGAAGCTTTCTTCTGGCATGAAACTTGGTAGATGCCTTTGAGCCTACCAAAATATGTTTTATGTGATTTTCATTTTATTACATGATGGAATCAATATGAAGTATTGGATCACTTAGATTCTATTCCTG